TTTTGATAAAAATTGGGATTTTTTATAAATTTTTTAAGTTACTCAAAAACTGAGCCAAAGTCCCTGTACTTATAGTACAGGCTTGTTGGCCAAATTTTCTCAAAAATGGCTAAGTAAGAATTCTGCATTTTATAATTTTTTTCTGTTACGTATACATGTATTTATGTTGTGTAGAAAATTTGAGCTGATTCTGATCAAATTTGAATTTTTTTATGAATTTTTAAAGTTACTCAAAAATTGGGCCAAAGTCACTGTACTATAGTACAGGCTTATTGGCCAAATTTCATCAAAAATGGCTGGGACAAAACTTTGCATTTTTATAATTTTTTTTGTTATGTATAAATGTACTTATGTTGTGTAGAAAGTTTGAGTTGATTTTGAGCAACTTTGAATTTGTTATGAATTTTTAAAGTTACTCAAAAGTTGGGCCAAAGTCACTGTACTATAGTACAGGCTCATTGGCAAGTTTTGTCAAAAATCACTTGGTGAGATTTCTTCAATTTCATAATTTATTTTGTTGCATATACATGTATTTGTGTTGTGTAAAAGTTTGAGCTGATTCCAATCAAATTTGGATTTTTTATGAATTTTTAAAGTTACTCAAAAAATTGGGCCAAAGTCCCTGTACTACCGTATACTGGGAAATTTTCAAGTAGCCAAATTTTCGTGAATTTTGCATTTTTGCTCCATTGCAAAAATAAAAATTGCAAAATTCTAAATTTCCATTGCCACGTGGTGGAGTTTACAAGCTATTCACGAAAATATTATTTCGTGAAATCTTAATTCGTGAAAATTTAGCGACGCGAAAATATCCTAGTATACGGTATAGGACAGGCTCATTGGCCAAATTTCGCAAAAAATTACTAAGTGAGAATTCTCCATTTTTATAATTTATTTTAATGCAAATTCATGTATTTGTGTTGTGTAAAAAGTTTGAGCTGATTTCAATCAAATTTGGATTTTTTATGAATTTTTAAAGTTACTCAAAAATTGGGCCAAAGTCACTGTACTATAGTACAGGCTCATTGGCCAAATTTCACCAAAAATCACTTGGTGAGAATTCTCTGATTTTATAATTTATTTTGATGCATATACATGTACTTGTGTTGTGTAAAAAGTTTGAGCTGATTTCAATCAAATTTGGATTTTTTATGAATTTTTAAAGTTACTCAAAAATTGGGCCAAAGTCCCTGTACTATAGTACAGGCTCATTGACCAAACTTCACCAAGAATCACTTGGTGAGAATTCTATTTCTCATCTTCTATGCATTAAAATTTTTTTTGGGCAGTTTAAGTATAAGTACTACACTAGGGAATGACTTACTCTGGTGAAGGTAGATCTATTGTCACTTTTGATGGTGATGATGTATTAAGAGATGAAGGAGGAGGAGCGAGCGATGGAGAGGTATCATCACAAGTGAGTAACTTCACGTTCCAATTCATTGACTGGTCTACACTCATGCCTTGAGAGAGAAAAAGAAAAATAAAGTATATAAGGTAATAGTATGATAATAGTAAGGTCATAGTAATAATGTTTCTTTGTAAATTAGGGTCAAAATTTCAGCTAAGAGGACAAATCATTTATTATTAAATATTATGAATTGTTAAATTGCTTCAAAATTTAGTCAAAAAATCTTGTACTATAGTCCAGGGTACTTAATTGTCAAAAATGCGGACAGAATTTTGCCTTTTTATAATTTTTTCTGATGCATATACATGTACTCATGTTGCATTTCAAGTTTGAGCTGATTCTGATAAAAATTGGATTTTTTATAAATTTTAAAAGTTACTCAAAAATTGAGGCAAAATCCCTGTACTATAGTACAGGCTCATTGGCCAAATTTTTCTCAAAAATGGCTAGGAAAAAATTCTGTATTTTCACAATTTTTTCTGATGCATATACAAGTACTTATGTTGTGTAAAAAGTTTGAGCTGATTCTAATCAAATTTGAATTTTTTAAATAAATTTTCAAAGTTGCTCAAAAATCGGGTGTGAAAGTCCACGTACTATAGTACAGGCTCATTGGCCAAATTTCGTCAAAAATGGTTAGGAAAGAATTTTGCATTTTTATAATTTTTTCTGTTACGTTAATTTTATATTCAGCCTCTAAATCAGGTATTAGAAATAATATTAAAGTATTTGATTCATATTAATTTTTATACATATTTTAACTGAAACAATCCTGCTGCCTACTATAAATTTAACTTTGTCATCAAATTCTTTTAAATAGTGGAGTAATTGCTTTAATTTGTGGTATTTTTGCAGCAGTAGTATTTTTAATTATTGGTAAGTCCCACATTTTACAATAGTGACATAATTTCTTACAATAGTTGTGGCAGTA